ATCAATAAATTGCTTCCAACTTTTAAGTCCTTCCAGACAAAAAAATAATACGAATGTAAAACGGTACCTCATCTTTCAGGTTTGATTCAATATTCATCTTATGGTGTTGTCAGACGAAATATAAGATTTTAACACTTTTAAGGAACACTTGACTGTCAGCTTATAGTAAATACACATATACATGCATGTTCAATATGATTAGAAAAGTATAGTCATATCAACCAAAAGTAGAACTTAAATTTTGACCTTTTTTTTTGAAAAGTTTGCTATATGTTGTTATTCATTCTATATTTGATAGACATTAGTATTTATATGTGATTGATGTATGATTATATAGCAGAGATGTCCACAGGGCGCATTTTTTTTGTCCTGTCCTGCTAACTTCTCAAAAATTGGTACCTACCCTGTCCTACCCTGAAGTACAGGGCAGGACAGGACGCCCTGCAGAGCAAAAGAATATTATAGTGTTTATATATAAGTTCCAGTGCTGCTTTTTATTTGTGAAGTAGTTTAAGAAAAAAAGAATCATGATTAAAACAAATAATATTGAACTAGGAATAAGAGAGAAAACTCTTAAGGAAAAAGTGTTTTTAATCTTTTTGTAATTGTTTTCGATGGATCTTACGAACAGAAGTTTGTCTACTTCTTCTGGCTTGATAATCTTTTTATAATGCCAAGAGAAGGGAAAGAAGAAATATCGAGATGTAAATCAGCAGATACTGATGGTGTTTGCATAATTTTATTTTTATTTGGTGAAATAAACCAACAAGAAGATGACTAACAATAACAAATAGTATGTGGTCTGACGACATATGAAGTGAAGTGAAAAATGGCAGTTGACTACATTTTTTTGTTAGGTTGATGAAACTCTAAATATTGGATGAAATTTTTACAAAATCAATTTAATTTTCCTGATATCAAATATCTTTGGTGTAGTTTCCAATGAAAGACGGTTTTAGAGATATTAATAAAACGTTTATATAGTTGGCGCTAGTTTTGAAGATATTTTGAGAGCAGCTTGACATCAGAAATCGATACGCTTTTTACTACAACCCATGTAAATAAATCGAGAAAAACGGGATTTTAATCGATCTTTTTGTGATCAAAAATCGATTAAAATGAGACGATTTTAATCAAATTTTAATCAGATTCTTGATTTTTAATCAATTTTAATCGATTTTAAACAGATTTCTTGACTTTAAATCGATTATTTTTTATTTTAATCAGTTTTAATCGATTATAACTGGTTATTGTTGTTTTAATGGATTTTAGTTGATTATTTAATTTTTAATCCTTCTTAATCGCGATAACCAAAGAATATGTAAGCACAGATCGTTGTTATCTCGCGAACTCAGGCATGTCTGTTCGAGGTTGGTTTGGCGTTGTACCTACTATTTGTCGACGTGAGGAGTCCGAAAAACCAATAAAATGCTATGATTTCTCGGCTAAAACTCGAGAAAAACGCATTTTTTCGTTACTATTATTAAAATTAATTAAAAATCAAGAAATTTGATTAAAATCGTCTCATTTTAATCACGAAAAAATCGATTAAAATTTGATTTTTTCCGTGTTTTTTTTCATGGGAATCAGAAGACAATAGATTGATTTTTTGTGGGAGTTTGATCCTTTCTTTTTGGATTTTATCAAGCTCAAAATATCAACGACTAAATGTAGTCGACTCGATGACCAATGACACTTTGAGTAGACATTAAAATATATGTTCATAGTTATGATTTTCTTATTTTTTTTTTCTTTTCTTTGAAATATTTTGATTGGACTTTATGTTTGCCGTAGAAATAGGACAGTCTTATGTACTATTTGATAATGCTATCTGTATTGGTTATCCCATTCTTCACATTTTCGAGACAAACCAAAGCGCTCCTATTTCCAAACAAAATTTCGTGTATATGAAATTTACAGGGCACGGAGATATCGCCCTGCCCTGTCCTGCCTTGTGGACACCTCTGGTGTGAATGGATATGAGTCTGACCTGAATTCACACCTACACTCACCCACACCCTCACTTACATACATGTCATTCTCGATTCACTTCATGTAAGATGAATCGATAAATTTTTTCTTTCTTGTTGCTTTCATGATACATATCTGTAAAAGCATTATCGGAATTGGAGTAAAAATAGATGAGAAACTTTAATTTTACTATCAAAGCTGAAGTTTATTACAATTATACATTTGCTACAAATAGGAACCAGTCGACAAGGTTTTGAAAATTTGAAAACAGAAAGTTCAAGAACAAAGTTTACTCTAAATTGTTTCTGAAAATATTTTTATATTCTAAAATGACGGAGGTGTAAAACTAAAAATGTGAAAATGAAAAAAGATCTGTTAATTCACCATACATGTCTCTATTGTCTTTTTTGTTTTGCATTTTAGAAGCGCATAAATATTGTATTTCTCCTGTTAACGAAATGTATCCTGCATTTCTGAGACGGTGAAAAATGCCTCTGCTAGTAATGAACGATTCATTGTCATGAGGTTGAACTATGTTTTATTTTCTATTTACTTAAGCAAATGAATTCTCACGTAAAAAAAAAGACTTGAGAAACCAATTTGTAAATATTGTTTCTCTATTTTTGAGGCTATTACTCGGAGTTTATTGCATCTTGATGGACACAGCATATTCTAATATGTACTATTTCTTGTTTAAAAAAACGACTACCCATTGAGTCAGTTTTCTAGTATTTTATATTTTTCTTTTTTCTTAAATAACTTACAATTACTTGATTTGATTTTTGCTAATTTTAGGATATTAAATATAAGTCAGTTACACTTAATATTCTCAGTTTATTGAGGCCCTTGGTTTTGATTTGAATTCTTTCGGATTATTTTTGGAATATACATAGTTAAAAAAAAATTAGTCAGAAGATTTATTTTCGTTACGTATCTGCAGTTGAAACATAAACGTTTCATTTCATTGTTATATCATTATTTAGTTTCTTTTTCGATAATGTAAAGATTACTATTATTAATGTTCTAAATACTTTAACTGATATATAACTGATGAATTCTAGAATGAGACCATTTCTATATGAAGAACAGCTATGAAAGAAAATATTTTCAGTAAAATTATTTTCTATTTCTTATTAGTACCGCTTTATTTGAAACTTAATGTGACGCTCTTTTATTTGTAAAGAACAACTACTCGTTCTCGATACTTTTCGATGATACAAATTAACCACAATCTCTTCTTTTTCTTACTTATACTCATTCATCATCTCCAACAATTCCACCACAACTTTCATTAATTGTTAAAAATGTTAGTCTTGCAATTAATCTTCGTAGTTATATAGATTAGTTGAAATATTAACTGTACTGCAAAATATTTGGTTTCAGAATAACGATGTTGAATTCAGACGATCAGCTTAATAAGAACAAACTTATTTTGCTTATAATAATGATCAAGATATGATCATTATACAATTATTAAA